GTTTCCTTTGCTTTGCAGAAAGTTTTAGTTTGATATCATCCTATTTGTCTATTTTTACTTTTCTTGTCTGTTATATAGGGTAATAACAAATAAAATCTTTACCCAGACTAAAGTCATTGAGCTTTTTCCCTATTTGGGGGGGTAGTTTTATAATTTTAGGTCTTATGTTTAAATCTTGAATCCCTTTGCATTGCATTGATTTTTTGATTATGTTTTGAGAATATAATTACATTCCCCCTCATGCAGATAGCCAGTTTTCTCAGTATTATTCATTCAAGAGACCTTCTTCCCCATTGTGACTTTTTGGCATCTTTTCCAAAGGTCAAATGACCATAAATGTGAGGATTAATTTCTGGGCGCTCTATTCTATCCCACTGGTCTAAGTGCTGATTTTATACCAATGCCATGCTGTGTTGGTGACTACATCTTTGTAGTAGATTTTCAAGCTAGGTAATATGATGCCTTTGGCTCTGCTCATTATGATTGGCTTTGGCTCTCTGGGATCTTTTATGGTTTTATATGGATTTTAGAATTGTTTTTATTATTTCTGTGGAAAATTTCATCAGAATTTTGATAGGGATTACAATGAATATGTAAAATGCTTTGGGTAATAATGACATTTTAATAATGTAAATTCTTCCAATTCATGAACATGTGATATCTTTCCATTTATTTGTGCCCTCAATTTCTTTCAACCATGTTTATAGTTTCCAGTGTACAGATCTTTGTTAAATTTATTCCTAAGTATTTTTTGTAGCTATTGGAAGTGGAATTATTGTCTTAATTTTATTTTTGGATAGATTTTTGTTAATATATAGAAATGCTACTGATTGTGCATGTTGATTTTGTATTCTCAACTTTAATAAATTCATTTATTAGTTCTAACTTTTTTGGTTTTCTAACTATAAGACCATATCATCTGCAAATAGAGACAATTTAACTTCTTTATTTCCATCTGAATACTTTTTATTTCTTTCTCTTATCTAATTATTCTGGCTAGGACTTCCAGTACTAAGTTGAACAGAATTGGCAACAGTGGCCATCCTTTCCTTGTTTCTGATCTTAGAAGAAAAGCTAATTTCTACCATGGAATGACGATGATTGTGGGTTTTTGATACATAACCTACACATGTTGAGATACATTCTTTCTATACTTAATGTGTTGAGGGTTTTCAACCATAAATCATGTTGAATTTGGTCTAATGCCTTTTCTGCAACTGTTGAGATGATCATATAGTTTTTGTCCTTTGTCCTTTTCTTGCGATGTTAATTTGAGTATGTTGAACTATCTTTGCATGCTAGGGATACATCTCACTTAATCATGGTGAAAGATTCTTTTAGTGTACTGCAGATTTTGATTTGCTAGTATTTTGTTCATCATATTTACATCTATGTTTAACAGGGATTTTGGCCTGTAATTTTCTTTTATTAATTTTACTCTCATTATTTGACTTTAGAATCAGGGTAATGATGACCTCATAAATTAAGTTTTCTCTCCTCTTCATTTTTTTGGAAGAGTTTAAGAATTGGCATTAATTCTTTAAATGTTTGGTAGGATTCAAACATAAAGCAATCACATCCTGAACTTTTCTTAGATGGGAATTTGTTGTTTTTGTTTTTGTTGTCTTTGTTAAACTGATTTAGTTTCCTTACTTGTTTTTGGTTTATTCAGACTTTCTATCTCTTCATGACTTAGTCTTGGTAGGTATTATGTGTCTAAGAATTGATCCATTTCTTCTAGATTATCTAATTTTTTTTTGCATATAATTGCCCATAGTAGACTCATGAGCTTTTTTTAAAAATTTCTGCAACATCAGTTTTAATGACTCCTCTTTCATTTACAATTTTATTTGTTTGAGTCCTTTCTCACTTTTACTTGGTCTGACTAAAGGTTTGTCAATTTTGTTTACCTTTCAAAAAACCAACTCTTAGTTTCATTGATATTTTCTGTTGTTTTTTTAATAGTGTCTATATCAGTTATTTCTGCTCTGATTTTTATTATTTTCTTCCTTTTACCAACTTTTGGCTTAGTTTGTTCGTCATCTTCTAATTTCTTAAAATGTAATTCTAGATTATTTGGATTATTATTTAGATTATTAGATGTGTCTTCCTTTTTCAATGTAAGCATTTATTGCTATAAACTTCCCTCTTAGAACTCTTTTTGCTGCATCTCATAATTTTTTAAAAATTGTGTTTCCATTTTCATTTGTCTCAAGATATCTTTTAAATTTCTTTTTTGACTTTTTCTTGGACCCATAGGTTGTTTAGGAGCATCCTCTTTAATTCCCACATTTTTGAGAATTTCTGAAATACCTTCTATTATTCCTTTTAAGTTTTATACTATTGCAGTCAAAAATGGCTCTTGTTACTATTTCAGTCTTCTTAAATGTGTTGCCTTGTTTGTGACCTAAATGATCTATCCTAGAGAATGTTTTGTGTGCACTTGAGAAGAATGTGTATTCTGTTGCTATTGGAGGAAATGTTCTGTTAGTCTGTTGGGTCCATTTGTTCTGAAGTGTACTTCAAAGCCGCATTGATTTTCTGTCTGTATGATCTGTCCATTATTGAAAGTGGGATTATTGAAGTGCCCTACTATTATTGTATTACAGTCTATTTCTACAAATATTAATAGATAACTATGTTACACACACACACACACATTCTGACCTTGAGTATGTATATATTTGCAATTGTTCTATCTGCTGGGTGAAATGATCCCTTTATCATTACATACTGGCCTTTTTGTCTCATTGTACAGTTTGTGACTGAAAGTCTATTTTATCTAAAATAAATATATTTTCCCCTGCTATTTACCAACTATGGTTTCCCCAGATATGCTTCTAGCCTTCCCTCCCCCTCATTTTATAGCTTTGCTGATTGTCTTCTCTGGTCCAGGAGTATTCTTACCCCCAGTTTCTACTTATTCAAATCTTCACCATCATTCAAGGCACAATTCAAAGATGATTTCATCCATGAAGACTTGCTCTATTTGCTCGTGCACAATCTCTCCCTTTTGTAAAAGCCAATAGCAGTTTTATGGTGCCACTCATGACCACCATGGAAATGTGCCATTTGGATGCCCTTCTGTAGAAGGAACAGCCTTGGCCAGTTTCTCTGTATCCTCACCCAGGCCAACCAGGGTATCCTTCCCCTGGCTGTTTCTAGCCAGTGATTAAACAAGATGTGAGATACTAGTTTTAGCCTGCTCTGAAAAGACTTGGAACTCCTCTAAGGTCCAACTTTGGCTGGAGGATTCCCTACTGGTTTGGCTGAAACTTTGTTAGAACTGCATTGTGTCTAAGAGTCTTCCTGTCCTCCTTCTTTTTCTTTCTCCTCTCACATCATGATATGAAGACTTTCCCTGTCTTTATCTGCTTCTTCCCTTTTGCCCTTCATGCTGTTTTCCCCAATGAATCTCTTGCATGGTTAACCTTCTCCCAGTGCCTGCTTTCTAGAAGATTTCAACTGACTCATGGCTTTTAAAGTGTTAACCATGTTGTATCTTATTGCAGTGGTAAATGGCTCATGCCCACTGTTGGGTTGTAAATACTAGAATAGGTACTGTACATTAGTCAATTTTATGGCTCCCAAATATCCAGTATAGTGCTTTGTACATACTTAGTACTCAGAAAAGTTCATTGAATGAATAATTATTATATGTTTTTAATACTTAGGTAAAGTTTATAAAACACCTTTCCATCTTTATGTTATTTGAGCATTCCAATAATCCTGGAAAATAGATGGGCCAAGCCAATAAAATAAGCCAACCTCAGGGAGATGAAACTCACTGGGCTTGTTTAGAGTCTAGACTGTGTCCCCTGTTTGTGCTTAGAGAACTCAGCATTCTTCCAGACATATAATAATAACACCTAAACGTGCTATCTTACTGTGTGGTGGGAACCACTGTAATCAGCTGTACGTGAATTATGTTATGTTATCTTACCCAATATCCCTGTAGATAGATGGAAATACTTTTTCACTTTACGAAAATATAAATGCTCAGGGTCATAACTTTCAGAGGTGGTGAAGGCAGAATTTGAACACACATGCTCTGGCTCATAGGCTATCTGACAGCTGTGCCTGTTAGTTATTTGTTGAATCAATAACAAAAGTCAGCCAGATAGAGGAGTCAAGACTTGAACCCAGGTCTTCTATAACCTCTTTGCCAATGAATACATCCTTTTGTGCTATAAGCTGAGCAGTTGACAGTTAAACTCAGTTTGAATAAAGACGCAATTGTTGCATGAATATTGTCCCATAGAACTTTTCATAGTGATGGGAAGGTTCTGTACTTTCACTGTCTTGAACAGTAGCTACTAGTCATATGAGGCTTTGCTTTTAGAAATGTGTCTAATGCAACTAATGAACTGAAGTTTTAATTGTATTTCATTTTAATACATTTTAATTTAACAAGTCTTGTGGGGTTAATAGCTCCTCTATTGATCTGCCCACTTCTAGTCTCTTCTCTGACCAATTCATCTAAACTTTGTCCTATTTCTCTGGTATTTCATGAGTGTTTTTTTTTCTTTTTAAATTTAAAGAATTCACTGCTCAGTTCACTGGAAATCAGTGATATCCAATCAAGCCATGACACAAAATATACATGCCCAATCCAGTCATCAACCCAAAGATACTGCCATATGAGGGAACAAATGTTTAGTTTATTATAATCCTAATCTAAGATGACATTTCTTCGGGCCTGTGGATGCTTCTAGGCTTCTCAAATGATCTAACTTTCCACAGCTGGCATCATCTTCCCTGATGATGCTCTGAAAAGGTAAGAGACAAGAAGACAAGAGGAAAATGCACACTTTTTTTCCTTTAAGGTGCAAAGTTTTAATTCCAAAGGATAATAGCTACTGAGGGTTTGAAAATTCAATTAGAATTCACAAAAGTCTTCACATCAAACAAGCAAACAAAGCAAAAAAAAATCCAATAAAGAGTGACTAAGAGCAAAACCAGTTTTCTTAAGTAAAGAAAGAAAGAATACGCATCTTTACCTGTTCATCAGGATTTTTGTTCTTTTTGCCCTGTATTGCCAGCTCTGGGTTGACATAATCTTTTTTAACTTTCTCGATAGAACCATAGTCGTACATTCCATCTGATGACAATGGAGGGTCCTGAGAGGCTGGTTCTGGGGGAATAATGTCTGTTGTGACATCTCTAAGTGGGGCTTCAGGGATACTACACAGATGAATAATGGAACACAAAATGAGCACCAACGCAGAGAAGAAGAACATGACCTGGAATTCTGAGCCCAGGACTCTTCCCAGTTCCATATGACCCCAGTCTATGGCACCCAAAAGGTAGCCCAGGGCACCTCCAAAACCTGGAAAGCAAAAGAGATCTGTATGAGAACACTGAGCAAACTACAGACCCTCCCCTTCAGTGAAAAAGCTCCTCGTAGACAGCAGACACAGCCTGGATGTGATTGAAAGGTCCACCCAGCGAGAGGTGACACCTGCAGCCTGGCAGTGGAGACACAAGCCCAGCTCTAGCATTTAGTTGCTGTGACCTTGAGCTTCCTCACCTTTAACATGGGGATAGTAATAAAAGAGAAATTTCTAGTTGGGTCATGAAAATGGAAAGTTCAGAATAGAACCAGGCAGAGAACTAATAAATTATCTCCATTGGAGGTATTGTGGCCTTTCCAATGACACTCTCTATACTGCTTTTTAACCTGAAGGAATCCCAAGAAAACTAATTTCTGGCAGCAAAAAAAATATTTTATTGTTATTAAATTATTATTTATAGAAATTAAATTATTTTATTGCTATTTGTCTATTACTAAACTACTTAAGATGATACAAGCAAACTTGCATAGATCAACATTCTTTTTTTCTTAAGAGAGAGGGAGAGAGAGAGAGAGAGAATTTTTAATATTATTTTTTTTTTAGTTTTTGGTGGACACAAAATCTTTGTTTGTATGTGGTGCTGAGGATTGAACCTGGGCCGCATGCATGCCAGGTGAGTGCGCTACCACTTGAGCCACATCCCCAACCCCTAGATCAACATTCTTGAAAGCGATCTTCTTTACTCTGGCAGAAGTTTGGGGTACCTATTTGCAGTTTACAGCTACAGAAATAATAACAACGGTGTTATAGTTTGGGATCTAGAAAGTTCACCAAAGGCTCATGTGCTGAAGGCGTGTCTCCAGCTGGTGGTGCTCTTAGGAGGTGTTAGAAACTTGAGGAGGTGGAACCTAGTTGGAGGGAGTAGGTCACTGGAGATGTGCCCTTGAGAGGTATATGGTGTCTTCCCACTGTCCCCTACCCACTGCCCTGTCTTATTTCCAGCCATCTAGTTAGGGCTCCTCTGGCAGCTTGACATTATAGAGAAGCAGAAAGGGGATTAGCCATAGGTCAAGCACATGGAGTAAACTTGGTCTATAACAAACCACACTCAAGAAATAATCCAGTTACAGGAGATCTGACCACTACTACAGGATAACATTAATTCATTCATGAGCGTGGAATCCCTATAACCTAATTATGTCCCCCTAGGTCCCACCTCTTAATGGTTTTATTGCACACTGGTGACCAAGCTTCCAGCACATGAACCTTTGGGGATGCAGCAACTCCAAACCGTACTAGTGATGCCTCTTCATGTGAGTCCAGTAAGGATTAATGTGATAGTAGGTGGAAAGCACCAGCACATGCAGGGCTGTGCTGTGTTCCCTCATATGGCAGAACCAGGGCCCACTGGCTCTGCTCACTTCCTACACGAACCCTAATTCTGAAGCAACCCAGAAGCAGAAGAAAACTGCGGCACTGAAGGCTTAAGACAACCTGCTTGGAACTGGCTGGAATAACGTGGTCATTCTAAGGCCCAGTGATGGTGAACCATTCTGAGGGCTGAGACCTGGGCTTACCCTTGACCCTATTGTGGCAATAAATGAAAAAAAAATGTGCCTCAAACTTGGAAAGAGTAAAATTACAACTGCTTGATTTTTAAAATGTCATTGTAGAGCACTGATTCTTTTTTATTTCCTCATTTTTAATTGGTACATTATAGTTGCACATATTGATGGGAATTCTTAAACTTTAAGGTGCCCACAAATCACAGAGTCATCTTGTTAAAATCCAGGTTCTGATTTTGAAGGTTATGTTGGGGCCTGGGGCCCTGCATTACTCCGAAATTATTCCAAAAGTATTGCAAAGGAGTTACAGTTTTATTAATGTGTAGAGATTAGGCAGGTTCTTATCTTCTTATTTAACGTGGTGGGTTTTTTTCTTTCTGGTTTTGTTTTGCTAAAAACAAACACATACGCATGCTCATGCGAGAGCGCACACTTTCTGCAAGAACTTGGGGAAACTGTTTTTTATTTTCCCTATTAGTTCCCTCATTAATTAGTTACGAAAAATCTTTAACACATGCAACTCTCTTCTCATAGGGAGGAGCAAGCAAAACTGTTTATCCCAAAGCTACTGTGCAATGTAGCTTCAAGTTACAACAGTATGACAGGGCATGCCTGAAGTCCTAGTGAGCCCTTGGGGAAATTGATCCAATAGTATATTTAAACACTGGAAGGAAACATTTAGGTTTTATCTATTTACATCTTCAGATATGCCAAGGACCAATAGAAGGCTGTGAGAGGCTTTCCTTTTGTTTCCTCTGCTTCAGCAAAGGATTTTATCTTTAATTAAAATCCCCCAAGCAAAGCCGAGTCATCTTAGCGGCAGCAAAGGCTAATCATTTTATCATTTTACCATCTCCCACATCCTGGTCCAGACTGCATTTATCCCTACTGCCCAAATCAGTCTCTTCGGGGCCCCTGGAATCAATCTCCAGGCTCTTAAAGAAGCTGTAGTATCCAGAGGACCACCTCAGCCACATTAGATAACAAGCCTCTACAATAAGGGTCCACCTGCTCCTTCCTCATGGAGCCCGGCTGTGTTGTCAACTCAGACTAGAGAGGACCTCAAGAGGATAAATGACTTTAGCAAACAGATGTCATACTTATCATATAACTTGAACAATAGCTCTTCCTAGAAATCCAAATGGATAGAAATATGTATTATATTTTTTTTATTCTACAACTATGCTAGGTAAAATAGAAAAGTGGGGACTTTCAGGAAGAAGGAATCTAAAGGGCCAAGGAGAATAAAGAGACTATCCAAGTCCATCTCTGTCCCATGCACCTACAATTACCTTCATGCCCTCATGCCTCGGGGGTGTGGCTTAGCAAGGTTGGCACCAATTGTGACACAGTTCAAACCAAGAGAGATATCAGTGTGCTGTTGGTTACTTTACCTCCAAAGGAAGAGAGACAAAGGATCCCCCTGGTTCTCATAGGATTCATGAGAGGGTGATTCTGATTATTTTCTACATTTGGAAAAACAGCAATGGAAGTATCACCTTGAGTATGGTTACCTTCTCCTACTATATACATATAAATCCTGGAAAAGTAACTTCTCTCTCTCTCTCTCTCTCTCTCTCTCTCTCTCTCTCTCTCCTTACCCCCATTTGTTTATTTATAGACAATGAGGTAACACTACTTCCAACAGGAACCCCGCTATTCACTTGGAATACCAATGAGTGGGGCAGATATGACCCCTGCCCTGTTGGAGGCTGAGAGTGCATGGAAAATCAGTCCAAATGCTATATTTACATCCTCTGGTCAAAGACTGAATATCCATTCTGATGTCTCATTTTCTTAGTTTTAAAATACAATCTTTCTCTTAAAAGATGGCAAGATAATATATTTAAAGTGTTTCCCACTGTTTGTTTCCTCCTTTCCCTTCTAATCCTGGCATTTCCTCTGCCTTTGTGCCCTTCCTTTATATTCAAGCTGCATCACAATGCCTCATTGCTTTGGGGAAAGGATGTGATAATGGAAAGCAGAGAAACAAGAATGTATTTCCTGAATTCTGAATTTCAAAAGCTCTGAGTCTCCAAAAGGCATCCAGAGTAGACTCAGGGAAAAATGTGCTGTAAGACCAGATGGGGCCAAGGACCATGATGGGCAAATCCCTCAGGTAGCCTGGCCCTGCTCTTCAGTGGGTCTGGCTGTAGTTGGAGGGAGAAGTGGGCAAGGAGTCCAAGAGCACAAGGGACTGGTGCTGCACCTCCTGATCAGACCCCAGGGAGCCAATAAAACCTCCAGGCTGTGCTCTGAGTCTGGACATAGGACTTAACTGTGTGCCTGACTCTGTTCTAAGTGCCTGCCACATGTCACCCAGTCAATCCTTTGAGAGAGGTATGACAAGTTATTCTCAGCAGTTACAGTCTATGAAGCTGTCACCAAAAATGTGTTAAGGAACACTGAATCCCTGGTCTTAGAGAGAATGCAGGATGAACTCCTGTGAGCCTTCAGTCACAAAGTTTTAGGCAACGGATGAACATAGAACCTTGTTTTATGTGTTTCTGTTCAAGGATCCCTTCCTTACTGGGCACTATTTATTCATGAACACTGAACACATGACCTATTGTGCTGTAACTCATGCCTGAACAAAGCTCCCCTAACACATGCTATTTTCTCCATAAGGCACATCACAGCCTTCCTGTGCTTAGGAACACACACAGCTCCTCAGTACTGAACTCGGGGCCATTTTAAACAATGAGACCACCAATATAACACACAAAAATGTAAAGATCGTGGCATTAAATATTCCGTGAAAGAATACTTGTTTCATCAGTGCAAGAACCGACAGGACAAGGCAGAGCACCACCTTATTGGAACTCAGCCGGGAACGTGCATGTTAGGTGATTCAAGTGTTTCCCCACCCTGCACATGTCCCCAAAAGACTGCAGATGAGCTGCAAGTACTGATTTTGGCATTACAAATACATTTTAGGAATGGGAGAACTTGTAAATTTGGAATCCACCAATAATGAAGACCAACTGTAGTTTTATGTCTAAATTAAGAGTCAAGGAAACCCAAGCACAGTAAGTTTGGGACTCACAGGGTTCACCTCTCACTGGCATGTCATGGGGAAGAGCAGATAACATAGGAAAGCTGAGAATTCCTAGTCCTGGAGGATCTTTGCAGATGCAAATGAAGGATGACTCAGTGGTGACAGTTCAAGCTGGCCATATGGGGGCACACTTTGTTTAGATGATACTAAACAAAGGTCTCCCCCTCCCAAACCTCTGCACTTTAAGCCCCTAAAGTTTAGATACAGCCCTTGGGGAGGTGGAGGGAGAACATTCCAGACTAAGACCAAGTTTCAGCCTCCTGTGTCAGAAGGCTCAACAGAGAAGCAAACAAATCAAGTTTGGGATTTGGGATTCACACCCATTGTAGACATAAAAATGTATCCAGCCGGGTGGCATGCGCCTGTAATCCCAGGAAGCTGAGGCAGGAGGATCGTGAGTTCAAAGCCAGCC